ATCTAGAATGATTAATAATGAATAGAATAATAACAAATGATGAAGGCACGCTCGTTTAATTTCTAGGGCGGATTTTTCGACTCTCATGTATTCCATTATATTTAGCGGCACGAAGAACGTGCGGGAAATACTAGACTCACAGCCTTGTTCATTTTCAAGTATCTCGCTGCCGGTATCGTCTCCGGATAAATTCGCGGGTTTTACGCTCGCCTCGGCATGGTTGTGCTAATGCGTTTTGCGTTTACATTAACGTCGATCCGCGTAAATGGCAGCATGGAGCTGCGAAAATATGAAAACTGTGAGTCGTAACGTGAAGACGCGCGTTTTACCGTAATGCAACTTCTAAGTTATTCCAACCGGTAAATTTTAAAAATTACAACGTGCGTGATCCAGTAATATTATGTGATTAAGAGGGAAAGCAAAAAAAAAGTGTGTTTCGTTTCGCATTTATGCTTACATTTGTATTACTACATGCCAAGATATTTTTTACGGCTTTTATGGCTAGAAAAATTTATTAAAATTTAAAGATGATTTTTCTTCGATGAAAATCTGGCAATTTATTTATATTTTTTAATACATATATACACAGTAGTCTTTTAATTAATATATGTCAAAATTTATATTAAATTAAATAAAAATTAAGTATCTTATATCTTGAAAGTTTATTATTTTGGAATTTTCTAATTTCGCAATTATGTTTATATATATATATATATATAAAATAACAATTGTTTTGAACAAATTAATTCCTTACTTTTTGTAAACTTTGTCTTATTTTTTTATCTGGCATAAGAATAAGTTGCGCCTAAAATACTTTGCAAATACTTTCTTTTTAATACCTTCCTTGTCATTTATTTCCTAGTATATTTTTATTTTAGTAATCTTTGTTATGAAATTGGTAGACAATATACATATATATGTATACAGTATATCGAAATCTCCATTAACACTTTAAGCCGGGCAGGGCTAACGCTTAACGGTTGATGCTTTATAAGCTCTACAATAGCACAGTATTACAATGCAGTGGTACTCACAACGAATCGTTAATATCAAAAATAATGACCAAATAATAAGGGATTTTTTACCGGTATTGCAACGTATTCTTTCGCAAAAGCATTGCGAAATTGCACGTAGCGAAATTGTTCACGAGGGAATCACGGATTTTAAATGATATATGATAACGATACCGCTGCGTGTTAGAATTAAAGTATTAAAGAAAACTCAATAAATGTACTACTTCTGAAGAAAATTAGCGAGCGTAATACATCTTTTCGTTACGAGCGTAATACATTCTTTCCGAAACTAGAGAGAAATTGAAGGAGAATCTGAAATATTTCGATCGATCGGCGCTTTTTTGGCATAATAAAAATGCTTCGCTTCTAAATCTTTAATAAGTTTTTGCCTTTTACTCCCGTTGCACCGTTTTGTCCTCTTTCCTTTTTCACGAACTATAAGAATAACAAAACAACTTTAAACCATTCTTAAACGAAATAAAAGCAGCGTGAAAAGTGCCGGTGTAACGACGCGCTCGCCCTTGGCTTAAAAATGCCGTAACGTCCTCGAATATCTTGCGAAACAACTCGAATCTCATTACTCCGACGTGAGAGTTGCTTAAACCGCGGTGCTCAAACATCGACTAAAAAATTCACAGACTGAAAATTCGTTCGAGTGCAACCCATCGCTTTTACGAGCGGACGCGAAAATATGAGAGTATATACACAAATATATACATATAGCTCCCTTTGTTCACATTTCCAACTATTACCTACTTCATGTTTAGATAAGTAAATAATACAATTTTTATTACATATTTTAATATGCAACAAATAAATATCGTATATCATTGTAATGAAACCAAATATATATATTGTTTAGAAAAAATTCGCGTTTATAAAAATTTTACGTTTTAATATAACAGATCATTCGATATGTTTCGATGAAGAAACGATGAGGAAACTAAATCGAAGAATTCGAATCAAACGCAAATCACGAGAATAAAAGAGAAGTAGGTATATGGAAAAAAAATATTATTTAAAAAAGGAAAAAAGGGAGAAGGAGAGAGAGAGTTTGCAGAAACTACTCGATGTAAAGTCTAAGAGCGTACCATTGAAGTTGACCAAGTGGTTCATAGAGATGTATTTAATAGCGTTAAAACGGTAACTCAATTATCCATGGAGATCGAGGATTCCACAAGGCGGAAATTCTCGATTACCCTTCAGGTAACCTCGAGATTCCGGTGGGTACCTTTAAAGGGAAACCGCGTAACAGTTTCTTACGTGGGTTTAAGATCGTCGGAAATACCGCGCGCGTCTTTGAGACTCGAAAATGACTTTCACCGTGACGCCGTATCTAAAAAGGAACCAGACGCAAAAATAGGGAAAGGGAGGGAAAACCGAAAGCCACAGGAAAGCCCATAAAAAAGTAGCGTCCCTCTTTCTCACACTCTTCTTTTTCGCTCTCTCACACTCTAAGAGATATCTCGAGATCCTTTTCATGAAAAGTACTTCTTCTCTCATGTTCTTCTTTTCGTGTTCCTTTAAACGTGTAATCTAACGATTTTTCATTTTAATAATGTGATAAACTTACATCCAAGTAATTTTCTTTAGTCAAAAAAATTTATTACACGCAAAATAATTTAATAAAAATTTTTATCAATTAAAAATTTCAATGATGTTAGATATATTTGAAATGTTAGATATATTTGAGAATAATGAATAATAAAAAGAGGAGAAGAAAAGA